TTGTCCCCCCAGAGTCTATATAAAAGAGGCGGAAGGAGCCCATCCCAAGGCATCCCACAACATTAACACTACACTCCATGCTCTTTCTCTCATTTTATAGCTTTGTATATAGTTTATTTTAGAATTAAGTATTCAAGAGTTGTGCAAGTTTCAAAGGAAAGCCATCCAAGCAATTTATCACTAGTTCTTTTTCTAAACTTCTTAATCTTGTTTATTTCTTTTCATTATCTTATTTGATTATGGAATATTATCAAGTATTATTGGGTTATTTAAGTGCTATGTGCTAACATAAATTTGTATACTAGGGGTTTGATGTAGGCTTTAATCTTCTTTTCCAAATTTATTGACAATTAAGATTATTTTTATTATATCAGTTATGATTTATTATGAACTGAATGCTTCTTAGAGCAAGAATTATTCCCTAGATAATTTATTTCAATTAATCAACTATCGGAAGGAGAATCTTTGATAGAAAATGTTAATAAAAATACATGAGAATAATGAACTTGTATGCAGAAGACTATTATGGTTTGACTCATGGGGTCTTTTATGCATTTATCAACCTTTAAATTGTAGAATTCGGTTATAACAACTACATAACTTAATATTTAATATCTATTGATTGCGCTATTGGAAGATAGGTAATTAATGGAAATTAAAATAGCTTGAGAAATACATCGGGCAAAGAGTTTGTTAGTGAATTCAGAGTTGTTCCCCTACTTGATAAATTAAATTTGATCAAATAACTAATGAAATTAAATTTGGATAGAATTAAGTGAAATCCAAAACCCTAATAGTTTCAAATCCTTGATTTCTTTTAATCAATTTTTGTTTACTTGACCTCTTGTTGTATTTTTTAACTTTATACAAAACAATTTCTCTTTAAATTAGTGTTGTTAGAATGATAACGAGATACATAATTTTGTACTGATTACAATTGCTCGTATGGAACATATCTTACTCATCATTTTTAATCATTACTTTAGCATTCGTACACTTGCAAAATAAGCTTGTCCAAGTCATATATTACTTGTAGCGATTCGTACACTTGCAAAATAAGCTGTCATTCCTTAAAGCTTTGCTCTCTCTTATTTACCAAAAAAAAAAATTATTGCTATGGTCATTTTTTTTTTTTGTTTTTTATTTTTACTAATTCTCCATTCTACTATTTTTATTTTTTCTATCAACTAAATACATAAATGAAATCTAAATTATTATTTTATGATGCATACTAAACACAAAAATATGAATTATTTTTCATTTCATATTTTGTTCCTTTGCTTTGTGCTAAACATGGTCTAATAATAAGCAAATATGATTAGACTTTGTGATTCTCAATATTGGTTTGAGTATTGAGCAGCTCGAGTCTTGTAAGGGTAAGGACGTACAAGTTCAATTACCAGGAAACACGCCTTATTTAAAAAGCAAAAAATATTTATAATATGCATTCAAAAGGTGATCAACACACCCTCTAAATCATAATTTCTACCAAAAAAATTTGTACTTCTCGACCAATTGAGATTAGAGTAATTAAGTGAATAATTACACCAAAAAAATTCTATCAAAAAAACATTGAGATTAGAGTAATCAAGTGAATAATTGTTTTCTTAGTTACAATATAAAATCAAAAAACCACAAATAAAAATGACGAGAGGGAGTAATAAATTTATGTTAATTGTTTTAATATTTTAATTCAAATAATTTTTGGTATCAACCTCATAACTTATACTTCCTCTGTTCCCTTTGTATGTTGTATAAGGATTAATGAGGTAGTTTACCAGAAGATTGTGTCCATTTTCTTCCTAATAATTTGCCCTTGGAACACCATTAAATTCTGCCTTATTTTTAATGCTAGTCAACTCATGTTATCGTTCTCCCAAGGACGCATTTAATGCATACTTTTGCAACTAAAATTAGAGAAAACGGCTGAATTAATTATGTTACAATCAACCAAATTCAAACTTTTCCAAAATTGAAATCCATTTCAAATTTTTAATTTCCTCTTGGCATCAAGTGCTTTGCGTTTCGAAAAATATTTGTATCATGATTAAAAATAGAGCACATATTAGGTTGAGCCGAGAGAGAATATACATTCAATTCTACTTTGGAAACATAAGGACGTAAAATGTGTAACTCATGTTTTGTCTATCATTATCTTGTTTCTATCACAAAATTAGCAAAGATAACAGAGCTAGGTTAAGGCCTTTATACTATCTTTGTTCCTAAATACTTATCACATTAGATAAAGTATAATATTCTAAAAATACTTATCACATTTATTATTTCAAGGAGTAATAAATTTTTTTTTTCATATTTACCATTTGTATATGACTAACAATTAATACTTCAATTCTTCAAAATTTGGTGTTTAGATTTATTAAATTAATGATGATATAGTCAATTTATTTAATAATTTATTATAATTTATATAAACTTAAAGTGTTTTTGAAGAGATATAAAATTCTAAAGGTTACAAGTGTCACAATAGAATAAAACAGTCTGATTAGAATTTTTTTTTTTTTTATAAAGAGAAGAGAGAGAGAGAGAGAGAGAGAGATAGTAATTAATACACACTCTATTTATTGGTGGTCACAAACAGGTCACTCACTACTCTGCATCATTTACTTCTCACCAATATGTTGTTGACTGCTAAACTGATGTATTACTTCATTCTGGCTACTGTTGTTGCAGAGATTTTTTCGTTCCAAGTTCCAACCCGTTATACCTTACGTGGGAGAATGAGATATGGATAAGAAGTTAAGAACACTCATAAATTAAAAGTACACCTCATTGATTATAAAATCAGACTGAGAGGATAGTTAACCGATGAAAAAATTAAATAAAAATAGTAAATTAATTATAAAAAAATGAAATATTAATTTTAAAGAAACTTATTAATAATTATTTTTATAAAATTAATATACTCCAATTACAATATAAATATAAATTCCAACTAATAACTAATAGGAAAAACTTTGAAATGCAGCTGACACCCTAATTATGTGATTTACACAGTTGATCGTACTCAACAACTGTGCTATGGGTTTTTGTTAAGGATCTTAATAATAGTTGATAGCTTCTGGAATTCTCAATTAGCTGCGACTTCCATCCCTACATATTTTCGATATCAATTGGTAGTTGATCTGTTTGGAATTTATTAACCAAATAAAAATAATTATTAATAAATTAATTTAAAATTAATGTTTTACCAGTTTTTATAATTTTTTTTAAAATAAACTTATATGAAATATTATTTTAAAATTTTAATTACTAATTTTTATTTATATAGCACATTACAATGAGAAATAAATTTGGATCTTAAAAGTTAAAATATATATATTGATTAATATAATAGTATAAAAGAACAAGTACAACCCTAATAGTCATTTTACATTTTGATAATAACCGCTAATAAAATTTTACTAAACATCAATATTCATCTGTTAACTACTATCAGCCATTAGTAGGGATGACAGTAGGTCGGATACTCGCTTAAAATGAAATATCTGAATCCAAACGCGATTATAAATTAGGTATTCGAATCTGTTTAGGATTTCACCTTTAATACCCGAACATGTTCTGAATTCGATTATAATTACCATTTAAATACCTAAATTTAACATTAAAAATATTTTTATCTTTATTTTCAAAAATAAAAAGTAAGTAAAAATTATACAATTATTTTTCTGACTCAATAAAAAATATAATATAAATTAAATATAATTATAGCATTAATTATCTGACTCAATTAAAAAAAATAATATAAATTAAATAATAATTATAGCTTAATTAAAATTAAAAAAGGCATTATTATATATATTATTATATTATAATATATATATACATATATATATATTCTTTTGAGAAAATATAATTATTTTAGAATTATTTTATAATTCTTTTGAGAAATATAATTATTTTAAATATTTTTAGAATATTAATTAAATAGGAAATGAATAACGTGTCTTTGAACTTGAACCTGTCCGAACTTGACATGGATAGTGAAAATACTATCCGAACCCATTTCAAATTTGTTTATTCATTAACCGAACCCACTAACATTAGATTGAGCATTTGTCGAATAAATTTGCATCTCTAGCAACTAGCTATTAGCTATTAGTAGTCGTTATCACATATCAGTTGATATGAATAGCTAAATCAAATGAGCCCTTGTTTGCTACGGGTCATTGATGAAAATCCCATCAAACCTATATGGTGATCATATTATGTACATATAAACTATCAACGGAATTAAACAGCTGAATTAAATAATTATAAAATGCTTTTTTCATATAAATAAAATATTATATAGGGGTTTAGTTTCAAGATATAAATTAATAATAGGAAGGAGAAGAATACCATGAGTGATTAATAACAATAATAATACTCCTTCTATTTCATAAAAATTGAATTTTTTTTTCTACTTTGTCCATACTACTCTTAAATCTTATTTTTTATATTTTTAAAAAATAATTATTTACATTTTTCTATTTTGCATACATATCAACAAATCTATCATTATTCTCATCAATAAAATCTTGAAATAAAATTATTAATTAAACAACTTTTCTTATTCTAATATTAGAAAACGTTATAAGATATATAAGGAAAATTATATAAAAATTATGATTTAGTTATACTAAATAATTTTACTATTAATCGGTAGATGAGCCAAATTAGATTTTTTTTTTTTTTTTTTTTTTTTTTTTTATCTGAAAAGAAGTCAAATATAGAATCTTTTATAATGGAATTTATGATTGACTAAAAAAATCAACAAGAAACTATTACTTGGATGTCTAATCTTCAAATAAACTTTATAATTATCCTAAGCCAGAGAGTTAAGTCACGATCGTTAAAGAAAACAAAACAGCTTTTTTAAGCTATTCAAACTAAAAAAAAGAGAGAGAGAGAGAGAGAGAAGAGAGAATAAAAACTGCCAATCGAATAAAAAAAAAAAAAAAAAAAAAAAAAAAAAAAAAAAAACTGCAATCTAATTTCAATTTGTACAACAAAGGTAGGTACTCATCAAATTCATATATTTTGACCAATTAATTAGGAGTGATATGGATCATTAATAATTAATATGTACATAATTGATCATCTAACTATCCAAGACCTAATCAATAATGGACAATGGTGATTTGCTGATCATGATGATTTTGATGATGATGATGATTCCCTTTCTTGAATCACAACCGGTAACCCACCTCTCACTGTGGCAGTAAGACCCGGAGAAAATCTCGGAGCTTGTTCCGGATCCACAACCCGAACATTAAATGCTCTAATCACCGCAAGAGCTACATTTGTCATCTCAACTAATGCCATTTCTTTTCCCAAACAAACCCTAAATCCGGCTTGAAAAACTGGATACTTGAATGGATTTTCCGGTACGAAAACCCCATTCTTTAACCATCTTTCTGGCTTGAATTCTAGACAGTCCGGACCCCATACCCGATCCATCCGACCCATTGCATATTGATGATATGTGACCCTAGTACCTTTACTGACAAATGTGCCATCAGGTAATATATCGTCTTCTTGTGCGAATTTAGAATCAAATTGTACCGGTGGAAATAACCTCAAGCTCTCATAAATGGCAGCATTTAAATAATGCAGTTCTCTTAATTGATCATAACAAGTAATCTCTTTATTTAATCCGAGAACCCGATCCGACTCATCTCGAATTGCTTCTTCAACATCTGAGTTTTGCGTTAACAACCAGAAGAAACTGGTTAACCCTGATGCAACTGTATCGCGACCTGCTAATAGAAAGCTAATAACAATATCTCGAAGATATTTCTCATCTTTTATGGATCCCATAAATCTTGATAAAAGATCTTTGTTGTTCATGAAACCCACGTTTCTTCTATGCCTTATCATCTCCTCTGCTAACTCATCCACCATCCTTATAGCTTCTTTAAGGATTTTTTCCGATCCGACGTTGAAAAATCTTTTGATTCTCCAAATCAATGGCGATGCAGTTAAAGCTCGTTCTGCTGATAATTTTGATGCAGTATCAAAAGCAAGAGCGAATTCTGATACGGGTAAAGAAAGCTTTAAACAACCCGGGTCCAACCCGAAGGAAAATTTACAAATGCTATCGAAGGAAAATCTTCTGAAAACATCTTGTAAATCTAAACTTCGATTTTCGGAAGAGACTGAGGATAAAAGAGGAAGCAATCTTTCTTTAATTTCACTTGTTATAAGATCGAAAGCGTATGATCTTATTGATACGCTGCCCAGCTCCAGACTCGCCATTTTTCTTTGAAATTTCCAGGCATCGCCATCGACGTTGAAAATACCTTTGCCCAGAAGATCGCCCAAAAGAGCAGAAAAAGGCTTCCCTTTCGGGTAGTTTTCGAAATTGGTTTTGAGAATGTATTCAACATTTTCAGGGTTTGCAGTAATTATATTATTAAGAACATGAACGTGGATTGTACCGGTTGGGGATTTCTTGAGAAGATGAGTATACCAATCGCAAAGATTTGCAAAATCTTTTGTCCACGAAGCAGTGACATAGCTTTTGCAAATCTGACAATTACACCATGGCTTTAATCTCGAAAGAAAGATAAGTAAAGAGAAAAGAGAGAATAATAGGGTAAATCCAAAGAAAATCAAGCTAAAAATGCTTGAAATGGATTCCACCAATAAGGAGGAAGAAGAAGAAGTAATCAACTCCATGAAAAAGAGGATTTGGAAGATACAAAATCAAGAAACAAGAAATAGAGAGAAGTGTGAGATGGGTAGTGTAATGAGTGAATTTTGAAGAAAGAGAGGTGGCTTTATATATATTATATGAGGAGGAAAAAAATGAAATAATTTATTGAAAATAAATAAAATAAAATAAAATAAAACGGTGGGGTTATGTTTGTCTAGATTTATCACAGTATTATTTTTTTGGTACAATGACTACATAGCTGTTGACAGACGACAAGAGAAAAATGTTAAAGTGCATGAACAACACGTGCGAAAAAATCCAACATCTGTCACGTCACGACTTACTGCAATAATACTGTAATAGCCATTCAAGCACGTGCTCTTTCTCTCCTATTGCATTATGGTCCGACAAGTTGTGTGTTTCTTTTCTTCCTCCGCAATTTGGATGTCGGCTTTGAGACGGCGTGCTAATTGCCAAATGCCAACCAAAGAAATAATTAAAAAAAAAAAAAAAAAAAATGGCCAACAAAAAATAATTAAAAAAAAAAAAAAAAAAAAAAAAAAAAAAAAAAGCAATAGCCATCCCACTAGGAGACTATATCTCAAAAGTTCATCCACAGTAATGAATGGATGTGCATTTTTTTTAAAAGAAGAAAATTAATCCTCAAAAAAATATTTATCTTTATTTGGAAAAGAGAAGGAAGAAAATATTAAAAGAAGTAATATTTTACTTATCTTTTATCTAAGTCTATATATTTTAAATCTCTCTAATTTAGAAGAAAATAATAAATAAAATTAAGTATGATTACTATTCTAGAACAGTTGATTTCGATTTCAAAATCATCAATTTTAGTTATAAAAAAATAAAATCAAAACGGACCGCTAAAATCGTAAATTTCAGTTTTGTTCCGGTTTTGAATTAAAATTAAATAATTTATTTCAAGCTTTTTAAAATTATTTTTTAAATTTATAATTTGAATAAAATAATAATAACAATAATATATTACTATTGAAAAAAATAAACCAATTTAATAAAATTTCTTAAAATTTATATCAAAAATATAATAAAATAAAAAATGAATTAAAATTTTTAACAATATATTTTTCACAGTTTTAAATTAAAAATCATAGAATTCAATTTTAAAAAATGAAGAACCGAAACTGAATTTTAAGTATATGATTTTAATTACAATTTAAAATTAATAACCATTGACCATGGTTTAATGCTGTTTCAATTTCAATTTGGTTCCGGTTTGAAACCGAATCGTGGTTATACCTATAAAAGTGAGAATTTCACTCATTTTTATTTAATTGCCTAATTACCCCAAATCAGTTAAGAAAGTTTAACCCTGTCTTAAATACTCGATAATTTAAGTCAGGACATAATTGTCAATTTCGATAATAATATTTTCTTTCCTCTAAAATTGTCTTTTCTAAATAAAAAAAAATAAATTTATTTTCTCTGCTTCGTTATATCCAAACATGAAAAATAACTATAAAAATAATAAAGTTAGTAAATTAGAAAGGGTGACATGTTAGTTGACTAAGATCCGGTTCAAATAAAAATTGAATTGAGAATTAATAGATTAATAAATATATTACAGTTGTAAATTTACTCTTAGAATTTATATTGCGCGTTACAAAGCTATGAAGAGTACTAGGGCTGCACGTGGGTCCATGTTGGGTCGAGTTTACCAATTTAAGGTACTCAACCCGTCTGAGTGGGTTAATGATTTCTTTGACCTATTATTTAAGAAAAAGTACCAAAAAAATTAAATATATTTAAGACATAATTATACAATAAATTTCACAAACCATAAATTCTACTAACAACATTAAAATTAAATTTCTTAATAATAATTGTTATTATTACAATAATAATACAAAAAATTAAAAAAATTAAAAATACTTAATAACATAATTATTATTACAATAATAATACAAAAAATTAAAAAAATTAAAAATACTTAATAACATAATTATACAATATGTTTTAAACTAAAATATATTTCAATAATAACATTTCCAAACAAATTTCTACTAAAGAAAAAACCACAATAAAAAAGCAGAGTCTACTAAATATGCAGAAAATTTAGTATTTATTTTCAAAATTACAAATTGAAATATCCCGAATTTTTATTTTTGAAACTTTTAAATTTTTATTAAATTAAAAATCAGAAATTTTGACTATGTGAGCTGCGAATATAATACAGTTTCGATTCGAGTCCAAATTTACCAGTTGGGCCCAAACCCAAAAATATATTATCGGAAATTTCGATTTGAGAACACTTAAAATTTTTGAGAAATAATACGGAACTCCAGCTACTGATCTGTTATAAAAAGATACTTATATAAAAATATATTGGAATGTAAACTACCATATCAATTAATTTATCCTAAAATAAATATCATATTATTATTTATATTATTATTATTGAGTTAAATATAAGGAAATGTTCTGAAACTTAAGTAAAATTAATTAAAATTAAATCAAAATCGGACTAAAAATTATCTTTATTTTTGAAAACCACATGAAAATTCGACCAAGCAAATTGAGCCAAATCATTGAATTAGTACCGAAACCGGTGTCGAATCACAAACCAAAATGGGCTAGCAAGCTTCTAGACTTTTTTCCTTTCTTTTCTTTTTCTACTTCATTCTTCTTTTCTTTTTCTCTTCTTCTTCTTCTTCCCCCTCTAGCACAGCAGCCCCTCCTCCTCTCTCCCTTCCTCATTTTCCGGCCACCGCACGATCAAAGCAAGTGGCGGTCGGGATTCCTTCATGCTGTCGGTCACATTCCGGCCATCCTTCACATCGAACGGGGCTGCTGGGGCGCGACACCAAGTTGTCTCCCTCTCGACAGTTCTTTTCTTCTATTTTCGGCGACCCGCGCCGTTTTCGCCAGTCCCAGTGGAAGAGACAAGCGCTAATCGACTCTCCGCAGCACTGTGAGTAAATCCCTTTCATAAATTCGCGATTTCACCGAGGTTTTGAGGAGCAATGGTGCGTGGAGGAGGAAAAGCGACTGTCGGAGCTATTCCCGACCCACTGAGGCAGTAACTCCATGAATTGACACCGGATTTTAGCTTGTTATAGAATTTTGAGTCTGATGGTGTATGAATCGCCCGATTCCAGTGAAGTTCGACATTGCGGCCATCGTGCATAGCGGCCGGTGGCGCGGTCCAGTGACCAGCCGGCGGCACTCCGGTGAGGCCCCCAAGAGACAGAATGATCTCCTTTTCGCACGGATCATGGAATTGTAGTTCGATCCTCAATCGATATGCCCTAAGACCTATTCTCCCATTTTTGGTATAAATTCCAAATTTAAAATTTATAGTTGAATAAATTTAATTCTAACAAATAATTAGCTAGATATAATTCTTATTAGGAATTAGTTAAGAGCATATTGTACGAGACAATTAATTTTGAATATTACTAAATACATTTCATGAATATTAGTTATGATTAGAAAATTTAATATTAGTTAATAATTACACTTCAATAACTAGTGAGTACTTAGGCATAATTGATTCTGTAAAATTAAATATAATCACATGCAGTAAGCTATAAATAGAACACTATCACAATGAGAAATACCTGTATTTTAACCTTGGTGGAATCAAGTATTTATTATAAAATGTTTAGTTCATTTGGCAATCTAGGTGTAGAACAGCTTAAAAATCAATTGAAATATGCTCGAGAGGCATAATACTACTTACATTGATTAGTTGTTTGGACAGCTTATTATTCAATATCGAACGTGACTTGTGGTGATGCATAAACGTCTTAGCCTAAAGAGGATGGCTTATTTGCATTTCATCTGCACCCAAAGGAATGCGGCGTGTGATGCTAGACGTAGAGATTAAAGGATATGATTATGTTATGGCCAGGTATGGGCGATTAATTGTGTTGAATTCCGATGGCGGATGGGCTTGAAAATTTATTTGTAATTATGTTTGTATCAATATTCTAAGAGATTTCCGCCGAAATTTCGAATAAAACCTTAGCGTTAGTCTCTAATCAATAAAATATAAATCAATTGAACTTTATTAGATAACATTCTTTAACTTAAATACATAAAATCTAAAGTTTTTCTAATTTTATATTATATTATCTATGTATTATTATTTTATTAGTTATTAATTATATTTATTTTCGATGGATAATTCATTATAACTAATATGTTTGTTTGATTACACTCTCTATTTATTTCTTATTAAATAATTTATCTTTGAGTAACTATTGTGACATCCGTTATATTATAGTTCTTGCGTCTTTCTCTCACTATTATTGACTTTTGTCTGATAATCTATCTAATTTTATGCCAGTTGGTACATATGTATATTGCTACTCATCTGAGAGCGGTCTACGAACGTTGGCCATATGGATATCGCACCCCCCTGATGCACCTGATATATTGAATGATCTATGTTGATATAAACGCCACAACGTGCTGTTTTGGTATTGGAAAATAAAAGCACATCAATATGATAAAAAATACATTTGAAAGGTCTTCACTGTATTTACTGTAACCGCACTTGCTTGGATCTCGGCTCCCCTGTGCAACATAACCGTCTCATGAAGAGGTTGGGCCATGTTTGAGGACGCTCGATTAGGGTTCGGGTAGATCTGCCATGAGACCAATCTTCCATAATGCGGCTCATTAGGGGTTTCGGTGACGCCATAGACCAATTTCCACGTAATGTGATTATGTAAAGATGTTAATAATTGTGAGTGCTGGTGATATGCCATTTGTGTGACTGGCTGCATGAGCATATAACTAGTCAAATGACTAGATTGATATGTTTAGACATTTGTGTGAATGCGTGTGTTGTGCAATAATTATTACTCCTTAGAAAACTCACATGTCTTGATTAATTTTTCAAGAAGTAACTTTCTCTTTAATTTGGTTTAAGCTATGTTTTTTCACCGCAGGGCTATAAAGAAATTTTCCTAGTTCCATAATTATTTTGCTATGTAAATTTTGCTATGTAACTCTATGTATAAGAAGCTATGTGTATCAAACAGTTAGTGACTCCGTAATTTTAGAATTTACATACATTTAGTTGCGTATTAACCTAGATGAAATAATTCTGTGAGCCCATATTAGAAA